TTCTTTAAGAGAAAATTTATAAACCTCTTTTCGTGCTTAGTTCCCAGAAATGTTTCCCATTTTTCTCATCCGATCAACCCACTTTAAACTCCGATCTAGTCACCGTTCGACGAACCGAAACCACCATCGTGTTTGTTGTCGAAAGATGAACAAAACCCCTTAAATCTCTCGTCGTGAATCGGAGTTGTTTGTCGTTAATTTCAGTTGCAAGTATCGTCGGTTTTAACTCTATTTTCATTGGTTTTTCGTTGATTCACGTCGATCCAGCTACCTGTTTTCAACACCTCCCACACCATCGTGTTCATTGCATCGTTCCGAGTCCACCGGTGTACTCCGTGTCTCCGTCGTCGCCGGCGCGTGGAGGGGTAAGAAAGTCAAATTTTTTGATGTTTCGGAATCGAGCTCTCCGCCGTTCAAAATTGTGAACCGATCTTGGTAAGTGTTTCAAAATGCCTTAAATTAATTTTTAGAAAATTTTCCAGAAATTTTTGGATACTCACGACGCCGCACGTGGGGAAGGGTCTGGTGTGTGTGTGGACAGGAAAAAAAACCGATTTGACCGGTCTAACCCGACCCGGTCCGACTCGACCCAACCCGATTATCCAACTTGACCCGTTGACTGTTGATAGCCGTTGACCAGAACTTTGACTGGTGTTGATCAGCCGTTGACTTTTTCTAGGTATACCTATCCTGACTTTTTTGATGTCCTAAGTCTGTTTTTGGGGTCCGTTTCGCCAAATTCGAACCCAGTAAGTTGTTTTCACTGATTTATCATCCGATTCAATCCGTTTTTCAGAATTAATCCCCGTTTTTTATGAAATTTATATTGTTATGAATTTGAGGAATTATTGAAAGTTGAATTAAGGATCGAAGGCGTTCGAATGAAATTTAATGGTTGATCAGTATTTTACGGAAATCGATGTAATACATTACTACCTTTTCATGTTTTATGGAAAATGTTGGTATTGGTAAATGCATGAATGAACATGTTTGGTTTCATTTGGGTTTTTAATTAATTCATACACTTGATACTAGAAGTCTGTTAAGTAATCATTTCAAGATCAGAGAATGTTCGGGAAAGCAATTAACCATAGGATCTCTATATTATATTATTTTCGTTAAGAGTTAATACCGAAGTTATATGGTTAAGAAATTACGAAAATGCCCTTAAGAGGTAAAAATAGTCCGAGTTGACCTGGAATGAGAAAGTACTTTGAGGATTCGTACTTAACTCGATAAATTATGGATTTAATTGTTAAGATCCTGTCTTTGTACAGAAAATTCCTGATAACTTGTTGGTAACTTCTGAGAAGATAATTGACCTGAAAATCTCCGAGTTAAGAATAAATTATCGAGGATGCTCTTTTGTCAGAATTGTTTGAAAGTTCTAGAAAAGATGATACATTTGAATTAAATAATAAGATCATATGGAAGGAAAAGATTGAAATACACCAGATCTGTAAAATGACCAAAATACCCCTGTAATGGAAATGACCCAAGAATATCACCAAGCTCAGGAATGATTGGATATCCTTGAGCTCTGTAATGAATGGAATAAAATTGAACACCAAAATGACCAAAATACCCTTATGGCTTATACTAAGTAAATGTCTTGGATTAATTAAATAATCAAATAAGCATAGGTGTTGGACTACCTTTAAAAGTTATGGAACACAACTTAAGTGAGTTGATCAATCTTAATGATATGTCAGTACCTGAAGGACATAGATATTACTTGAATGCGTGTTCATCTTCTCAAGTTTGGCTCGATGATAATTTTGGAAGTATTCAACTCAACTCAACTCTAGATCTCATTCAGTACTAAAAATTGTATATTTGTTCGACAAATCAGCCACGAAGACCGAACTGACCTGAACTGAACTGAACTGAACGAAGGTACAATATGTATTCGAAATTTAGAAAACGTCTGAATTACTTTGGAAAACTCTGAAGTAACCAGGATAGACTTGGCTGTTAAATGAAATAAGTAACCTCAATGACTGAGGATTAAATAAGTGATTTGGATGAGTCTGGAAACGTTAATGAACATAAATGATGTAATGTTCTTATGGGTCATGAACTACAAATCAAGCACATCAGCATTTCATGATGTCGTGAAAGCGTGTAAACGAAATAAAGAGTATTGGAATATCTGTTAGTTTCCTTAAGATCTATTCAGCGATGATTCCGAAGATGATCTATGGATAAGAATTTTTGGTATTAAAAAGTAAATACCCTAGAAGGATAATGAATTGACCAGTCAGCAAGCATTAGTTCTGGGAGTTATTCATCTGGAGTTGTTCGATAATCCAATCAATCGACAAAGATTATAAAGGATTCTACATACCCTTATGATTACGTTAAGCTTCCGAAAAATGTTCGAATAAGATATGATCCTGATAAATCATATTTTGAATAACTTATGATTCTGTCAGTTAATGAACTCTTTCAACAGTGATTCTAACTTCCGACATTCTATCGGTAAACTGAAGATCCGTGTTTTTCTGCCCGATAAGATTATCCAGTATCTCTAATAATATTTGTAAACACTAGTATGTTCCCTAATTACATGAATGTTTTATCTGATTTCCGATTTGAATTCGGTTATGATTTCTGATCTGAATTCTGTTCTGATTTCTGATCTGGATTATGTTATGATATATGATATGAATTCTGTTTTAATTTCTGATATCTCTATTTATTGACGAAAAAATGTTTTATTGGGGGTATTGTTGGAGGAAGAATATATGCAGGCTCCTCAGCTTTGTGCTTAGGGCCTAACTGTTGTGCATGGGTTGTATGGTACGTACACATTATGTTGTGTTCGGTTGAAGGGATTACTTTGGTTTTTGATAAATAAAAATATGTTTTAAAAAGATTTGTATCTTTTCAATGGTTTTGAGGGAACACACTAGATAATCTATTCTGATCTCATGAACCTAGACATCCCAAATATTTCCATCTGAACTGAAAGCTCACTGTATGTTACCACCTAAAATAGCAGTAAGATCTCCACTCAGCATAAAAATCTGTAGATATTTGAACCAATAAGGAAATATATGTTTATCTGTATCTGTACGTTTTTCAGTATCATCTGGTAGTTCTGTATTACTGAGCTTTCCGTAACTCACTCTATTACTCACCATTGCAGGTTAAAAGAATTGTACCGGTGCAGCTATCGACTTTAGTCAGGGAGTTCTTCTAGCGTTGTTTGCAGAGTATGATACATGTGATTAGGGGGCATGTAATTATATTTTGTTTTATATATGAGTCTGAAAATCTGTTTTATTTCTGCATACTGATAAATCATTTTATAAGTTACATGTTTTAATAAAAGTTTTAAATTTTCTGCTATTTTTACATTGGGTCGCTCCGGTGGCCCTAATGTGACACTCCAGATCGGATTGGGTTACCCGCATCGGTCTAAGGGGTTACAATTATGGTAATTACATGCAATGTTAACTAAACATGTCTATTTTCAACTAATCATCTTTAAACATTAATGAGATCAATTTTTTTTCAACACCTGAGTGTGGTCTAATAAATTTTATTTATGCAGAAAATAATCTCAAAATAAATATCTTTAAACTGAGATAACTAAATTTTTTCCAAAACCAGAGTGTGGATAAACAAAAACAAACGAGCATTAAAATTACAAACTTCTACTAAATTGAATATCGTTAAATGATATTACACTCACATGAGTAGAGTGCTCATGAAAAACCTAAGGTGATAATTCCTTAGTAAGCGCACAATCATAAGTTTGTATCAATATGCTCTATAAATAGGAATGAGTATGGGACCCGAACCCGACGGGTTTTGACTGACCCGACCTGATCGGGTCGGGTTTTTTTATTATAAAAAATTAGGTTTTGGTTGGGTCGAGTTTGGGTTTATGGTGAAAATATCCGACCCAACTTGACCCGAAAAAATATAATTTTACCTTATATATATATTTAAGAATAATTACAATAATCCCCTCTATATATTATTTTTTCCAATTAAATCACTATTTTTATTGAATAAAAATATTTTTTTATTATTTCGGATCGGATCAGGTTCAGATTTTATCTCAAAAAATCGGATCGAATTCGGGTCGGGTATAGGATATATATTTTCGAGTCGGATCGGGTCGGGTGAATGATGTAAAATTCTCGGGTCGAGTCGGGTTAGCCTAAACCCAACCCATGTCTATCCCTATCTATAAACACATATCACTTTGAATTTTATTTTGACAACCAAAAACATAATGTGCATATGCTTAGACTTTAAGATGTTTCTTTTATATATGAAATAAATTATTATAAATTTATTGTCACAAAATAATTTAAATAGTCTTTTTATTCAATCCATAATTAGCAGTCTATATGATAAGATTTTTTGCATCAATATGCTAATTAGTCGGAATTCGAAAACTTGATCTAGAATAACTTATAAAAAATAACTTTTTTTAAAGTGAAGTGGCTGAACAAAAAACGTATTAATACTCGTATAACCATTTAGATGGTTAATTTTTTTAATTTTAATAGAGACTTGTCTAATTAAAAATTAAAAATTAAAAATTAAAAATTATTTAATATAAATGTATTAATAATATTATTGATTGGGCTTTAATTTTTAGTTCAAACAAGTTGAAATATTAAATTCTTGAGATTAAAAAGGGACTAAATTTCAAAAGTTAAAAAAAAAGAAATAAAGATATAATTAGCCTTTTAATTTATCTAATCTCCAATTAATTAGAATTAGACCTTTACCCCTATCAGTCTTGCTTGCAAGCACGTGTTATAGTTAACATGAACATAAATAACAAATAATAATTCAAATATTTTCTTTTAATTCAAATTAGATTTTCATTTTAATTTTCTTATATAATCCAGTCTTGAATTAATTCACTGAACTCTTTGAAACGGATTTTTGCGTTATGATACAAAAGAGGATATGGGAAAAACTATTCTCAGTTAAAATATACAAAAATAATTAATACTCTAAAAATGCCCATTTTGCAAGAAAAATGTATGGGGTCAAAAATTTTAAAACCTATATGATCGACGACTGAGAGCATCTTTGAAGCGTCGGCGATTGGTGGTTGATATCCTCGTTGGACAAACTCAGAATACCAGATTGGTCATCAACTTTGTCAATAAGAAGCTTAAGCATTGGAACCTTCGACAGGGTTCTGCATGACCCCACCATGATCAACTTTTTCTGTACTCAACAACCAATGATAAACCATATGATGAGATTACAAGAATTTAACACAAAAAACAGCTACAAAACCTGTAATACCTTGGGTCGTGTTAGAGCAACGTTAATCCTATGCCAGTCTGCAAGCAGTGAAGTAGTGCAGTCTCTAGGATTCTCAGTAGACCTAACAAAGGATACCAGTATGCAGTCCTTGTCTCTTCCCTGTACAATAATGGTAAAAAATTGCAACAAACGCGGTCATTAGGATGACGAATTAACATCAGCAACTAAGACAATACAAAAAAGGCTTTGCTTCAGTCCAACCTGGTATCTGTCAATAGTATGAGTCTCCACGGATGCTTTGCCAGCATGTCTGATGAGATTTGCCTGTGAGTTATAAGGTGTAATGATGCCAATATCTTTGCCTTCAATTCCATTGTTAACTAATCCATCTGTTATCTATATGAACCAAGAAGTAAATGTCGTGCCATGCATCAAGTTGCTTACTAGTCATGTTAACAAAAGAATAAGTTCCAGACTAATAGTTTAGTCAAATGTGGATCTTACCTCTGCAATTATATAAGCTTCCATCGGATTATTCACAGTTCTCTGGTCTCTAGCCTCTAAAGCAGCCAACATATCTAAGCACGGAAAATGCTACCGTAAGGGTTCAAGACAAGCAAGTATACAACATACCGTAAGTAAAATAAAATTATTATCAAACCTGTATTAACAAAAATGACTGGCTTGCATGGATTTAAAACCTGCAACCATGAGTGAATGTAAGTGGACGAATGCCAAGTATCACAGAATGTGGAAGTATTTTGATCACAAAAGCAACCTTGGCACAAACCACATAGACTTTAGAAACATACAAAATAAATAGAGCTTTACAAACAAGGAAATTACAAAACCACTCTTACAGTTTTTAGCCACGGTGAACAAGAGATTGGTTTTGTGAACTTCAGTTTTGCATTAGCTATTTCAGGAGAACCACAACATAGTCGATCGCCATATATCAATGCATTGGACAGTTCCATGATACTTTGACACATACGGTACTGTAGGAAAAAGGTTTAATAAATTCATACAACAATAAAATAATTGAGATACAAAAAAAATTAGTTATCTTAAGCGGAAACCTGGCTTTGCAGTGGTGCAATTGCCTGTGGATGTGCTTCTGATAGCCTGCAGAACAAACTTATTCCCATCCCTTTTTCTCGAGCCTCAATACTCTGGAAATTAATAGGTGTTAACACTGTGAAAGAGCTTCAAGTTTTTCTCGGTAAATTAAATACTTAGAGCTGACGATAAATGTATACATGCCTGAATCAAGGGCGGCAATTGATAGTGATCTCCAACTAGGACAAATGTAGATGCAAACATCAAGGGTCCAAGTGACACCTGATAGGACAGATCTTTCATCAACTGAAAGCAAAGTGTGCATAACATTTGACTTACTGTTTTTATAAAGATAAACTAACACCTTTATACCTTGAAACTGAAAGTAGTTTATACAATATATTACATGAAAGCATCCTTGTCTAATTTAAGATGCAATTTTGGGTCAATTAGATTTATACTTTACTGGACAACGGAACTCAATATACAGATTCTTCATCATGTAGCTTTAGGATCCTCTTAGCCCTTTTTCCCTACTTCGTTTTTTCAGTTTTACCTACATTCTCCCCCAAAAAGTAATGGCTAAATCATTTGTTTGTAGTTCCACTATTCATTTTCCTGCCACTTTAAGTAAGCAATCTAGATATAGTATCATTGAACAATGATTTAGGTTTGAAATCCAGATATAGTATAATTGAGCATAAATCATAATCTAGATGAAATTTTTATACCATAAATATGAATTATCAAAATGCATATAGTACATACTGGCAAGCTTGTCTGTCCAGCTTCATCGATAATGCAAACATCAAATTTCTTTCCAGAGAGCAAGGGACTAGTGATGCCCAAGCAAGTGACGGCAACAACTTTCACTTGGTCAAATTTCAGTTTAATTTCTTCAACACTATTTAGGTTCATCCCTGTCACAAACAACTTACCACATAAAGAAGATATTAAGTAGCATGTCAACTGCAACATTGATAATAATATACTTCCTGACCTGAAAAGCAATTGCCCTTAATTTCATCATGCACAGATTCATGTCTTCCTATGCGCACAAAATCAATGCTCTGCAATTGTTTTTCATAAACTTTAATAATACTGGTGGAAGAAAAAGAAATCTCAGGGATATCACATTAATATCATCAAACAGATCCCATAGATGATAAAAGCTTGCTTATTCATCATAAGTCAATACTCCTGATTAGCTTTTAGAGGCCACAGTAGAATTGGATGGCAAAAGTGTAAATGTATCCCAACGTTAGTGTCTGTCTGGAGATGTAGCAATAATGCCAAGCATATTTGAAGGCCTCATTAAAAATCTCCTTCTTGATTAATGGAGCTTTTATGGAAGCTCCTTAATCAGCGGAAGGAGGAAAAGAGTGCCTTAAAAACTTCATTAAAGAAAATAAGAATTACACCCCAACATAAGATAAGACAAATAACCCTTACAAATAGCAATAACCCCCTTCCGAACAATAACCAAAAACCAAACCGAACCGAACCGCGCTTATAACATAAAATTCAGCCTATACCCGCCTTTGCTAAAGCATCAGCATCCATATTAGCTGTCCTTGCAGCCCATCTAACAACCCCCAAAAATTCCAAGTTTAACAACTATATCTCTAACAATAGAAGCATACACAACTGGGCAAGAATCAACATTGTTAATCCAGTCTACTGCTACCATGCTATCACTCTCAACAATCAGCCGATCTTTAACCATCCCTTGGATAGAGGCAAAGTAAGAAAAACCCCTTTGAATAGCTTTAAGTTTCATCAATGTTGGAGGTCTCGAACCCGCAGAGTCCTGAAAAGATCCTAGTATTGCACCTGAATGATCCCTTAAAATACCTCCAATACCACTTTTCTTCCAATCACCGCTAGTGGCAGCATCCACATTCAGTTTTATGAAGCCCATAGGAGGAGGTAACCAAGGAATAATAGAAGACTTCAGGAAATTGTAGGATGAATAAGAATCCCCTATTGAAGGGTCAAAAATTAAGGAATCCTTAGGAATAGAAATATCCTTATGCTTAGCTAAGAACCAAGTAGCAAGCCTAACTCTTGCTAAGAAGAATAATTCTGTCTGATCAAGCTTCCCCCCTTCAAAAACAATAAAATTTATGATTTTCCAAATGGTCCAAATGACTGCCCCAGGAATGAATGTCCATATAGCCGAATTTGATTTCAACTCGTCCTAAGCTAGGAGAAAAGTTTTAGCATCTTCATGAAAAACAGAACTGAACATCCAAAATTTTAAAAATTTGTTCCAAAGGGACCACACTACCGAACAAGTAAAGAATAAATGCGAGTAAGGCTCCTCAACCTTTTTACAAAGAAGACATAAATCATCCTCAATGCCTTGAACTCCTCTTTTAACCAATTCTGATTTAACAACAAGTTTTTGAAGCACAATTTGCCACATTAATGTTTCAACTCTTGTGGGTACCAATCCACTCCAAACAATATTCTTCCAAAACCGAACCTCTTCTGAACTTGTTACACACCTCTTAACACAAGAACTAACTGTAAAAACACTATCCCCACTGCCTTTCAAAACCAAGTTATCACTTAAATCCTTAGACAGAGAAACAGAAGAAATCATGCTCATCAAATTGCACCATTGTTCCAGCTCCCAATCATTTAAATTCCTTCTTGTTTTCACATCCCAAATCCAACCCGATGGATGAAAATCCCCAAACTCACAAAGCTTGCCAGATTTATTAGAAGCAATCTGAAACAGTCTTGGAAAAAGAACCTGTAACGGATAATCTGCAACCCAAATATCTTGCCAAAAATGGATATGCTTACCATCACCAACATGAAAACTATAAAGACTACGAAACTTAAAACCAAAGGAGTCTTTCTTGAAATAGTTATTAACCACTGTTCTCCACTGCCAAGAAGTAGTAGGCGAAATCTTGCTATCAAACAATAACCTTGATGGATCAATGTTATATTTACTACAAATAAATTTCCTCCAAACAGAACTTCTCTCATTTGCAAACCTTCAAGGCCATTTCCCTGGCAGTGCTCTGTTCATAGAATTGAGATTCCGAACTCCCAAACCTCCCTCATTCTTCGATTTACACACTTCAGCCCAATTAACCCAGTGTGTTTTCTTAATTCCATTGCCCCCTCCCCATAAAAAATAGACATAATTGAATTTAGAGACTTAAGAATTGAAGCTGGAATTTTAAACATTGACAAGAAGTACGTAGGTAGTGAACACAAAACCGATTTGATCAATACCAATCTGCTAGCTAAAGAAAGAGTAGCTGCCTTCCAACCTGCTAGTTTTGTGTGAAAATTATGCACGACCGGTTCCCAAATAACTGATGAATTCTTACTAGCACCTAGGGGAAGGCCTAGATAGTTAGAGGGGAAACTTCCAACTGCACAGCCAATGAAATCAGCCTAACTTTGAACCTATTCTTGAGAAATACTAATTCCGAACAGTTTGCTCTTCTTGAGGTTTAGTTGCAGCCCTGACATAACCTCAAAAACTCTAAGCACCCTCTTCACATTCATAATCTGAGTCTGTAAAGCTCCACAAAAAATTATTAAGTCATCCGCAAATTACAAGTGTGTAAGATTAAAAGACCCTTCCTCCTTTCCAACAGTCATACCCGAAAATAATCCCTTAGAAACAACCCTTAGGATTAATAAATTCAACAATTCCCCTACTAGATTAAATAATAAGGGTGAGAGTGAACAGCCCTGTCGAAGGCCCTTGGCCATTGGAAACTCCTCCGATGGAACCCCATTGACTAACACCGAAATCGAAGCTGTAGTAAAGCATCTCTTGATCCAACTGATCCAAGTAGAGCCGAAACCCATCTTTTCCATCACCTTGAACAAAATAGGCCAGTCAACAGTATCATAAGCCTTCTTGAAATCAACCTTAAATACACAGCTCTTTAGTCCTTTCTTCCTCCAATAATCGATACCCTCGTTAGCAATAAGAGAAGAATTCAAAATTTGTCGACCGGGTATAAAAGCAAATTGTTCGGGCTGATGATATCTCCTATACGACTTCTAAGCCTCCTTGAAAGGCACTTGGATAAAATCTTGTAAACTCCTACTAGGCTTATAGGTCTAAAATCATCAAGGCTCCCATTGTTAGAACCCTTAGGAATAAGGGTGATAAAAATATGATTAATACCATGTTCCCAATCTTTCCCCAAATAGAATTTGTGAAAAAAATCCAGAAAGTTACCCTTTAGAACAAATCAGAACCTTTTGAAAAATCCCAAATTTAATCCGTCAGGCCCCGGAGCTTTGTTGCTATCACAAGACTTTAAAGTCTCCCAAACTTACTCCTCGGAAAATTCCTTCTCTAAAAGAACACTTTGTTCCAGGGAAATTGTAGAAAAAGTCCGCCCAATATCTTCAACATCTAAAGTAGACCTATCATTGAATATTTTAAAAAAGTGTTCTTTAACCGTGGTCTTGATAACATATGGATCATGAGAAATATTCCCATCAACTTTTAAAACATTCAATGCATTTTGCTTTCTCTTAACTGAGACACAAGTGTGAAAGTATCTTGTATTTCGATCCCCTTCATTAACCCACTTCTTTCTAGAATTTTGATGCCAAATTTGCTCCTCAATTCTATTAAGTCTCCATAATTTTGATCTACAAACATTTAACTCATCAACTATCCCCTGAATCGAACTGTCATGCAAATGCTGGGCATCCTCCTCTAGCTTTTGAATTTTCTTCTCTAAATCTGATATTGCAACTCCCGGAAACTGGTTTTTCTTCCCTGCCCATTTTTTGATAGCTAATTTAGAGTTCCTCAAAATACTTAGAATTCCAGCTTTTCTCCTTTGCTTCTTGCAATCTGTAATTGTTCGACTGACCATATCCTCGAAGCCTTCTTCCTCCATCAGATAATTGAAAAGTCTAAAAGGCTTTTTTCCCCAATTAGTACCTCTATTTTGTAAATAAATAGCATTATGGTCTGAGATAGATTTAGGTATAAGTGATTGAATAATCTCAGGAAAAGTAGCCAAGAATTGACCATCTACCAAGAACCTGTCTAATCTAACAAAAGTGGGATCATCTTGGTTATTACACCAAGTGAACCTGCCCCCATCCAAAGGCAGATTAATTAAACCAGTAGACTGAATAAACTAAGAGAAAATCCTCATTGAGAATATGTTCTGAGCTCTACCCACCTTCTCATCTTCACTCAAGTATACATTAAAATCCCCTCCAACACACACAGCCAGATTCTGTCCAGAAATGAACACACTAAGTTCTTCAAAAAAACTTTCTTTTTCCTCCTTCACTGAAGGCCCATAAACATTAATGAGAACACTTCTAAACTGATTAAAACTGAATTTACCCACAACAGCAATAAATCTTCTGTTAATGCAGTGATCTTCCATATCAAATACATTATCATCCCAACAATATAATAACCCCCTGATGAACCAATAGCTGGAGATCTTTGTATCTTCTCAGCTTTAGTTTCTTGAAGCTAAAGAAAGTAAGGATAAGAATTAAAGACTAATCTCTGAACCGTTCTCTGTTTTTCTTTTTTTCCCAAACCCCTTACATTCCATGAAATAATGGCTAATTTTTCCTTCATGAATGATAATTGAAAAACCTCAATTCCCCAATAGGGCTCCTCAATTGGTCATATTAAAGTCTTTCTCTAGATTAATAATTTTTTCCATAAAAGATTCCTTCCCCTACTTGAAAGAAACCCCCAAAATCTAACTCACTTGCCATGTAGCTACTGCTTCGTCTAATAGGACCGAGAATACTGAAGAAGATGTAGAAATATTGACTTGTTCTAAAACTTCCCTTAGCAATAATCTCTTTACTCTTCTATTGGTTAAACCAAAATTAGAATAAGAATGTCTTTCCGAAACACACTCTTCAGACTGTCCATCCAAACTTCTAACACCAGCTTCTTTGACTAAATTTGGATCCTCACTGCCTTGTAAATTAGACTCTGCTGTTGTAGGATTCTGTTAAACAGATGAGCAGAACTGATCTTTAGCCTTCTGTGAATCTAGAACAACCTCTGTAACAATAGTTCCATTCTAGTCATTCCCATGCCAGTAATTCCTCTCTCTACTTCTTCTATAAACTCTTCTATAGCTGGGCATTCTCCTCCTCTTTAAAGGTTCACTTTTTGAAGAAAGAGATCTCTTATGCATAACCAACGATCGACCTCTTGATTGGCTTTTTGATATTTCTGAATTAGGAACTATCATCATAAGCTTAGTTTTTTTAGCCTTAGTATCCTCACTGCGATACGAATCAGAATTGTTACTGAGCCCCTTAAACTGCTTTTTAACACTGCCTACCTTTTCTATTTTGAACAAGTTTACCAAACTTATTAACTGTATAAGCTGGCCTAGAAGGAATTACTTTAGAAACCTCCAACCCAAATATCTCATCTTCATCTGCTTGGGCCTGAGGCCCAACAGCCGGATTATTTGAAATTCTAATCCCTAAACCTGCAAACTCACCTTCTTTGATATTCACAATGTTCTGTGAACTTGACAAACCTCTTTTATTATCCTTCCCATGTTTAGTAAAACTTGGAAAGTGTGTTCCCCCTTCATTTTCTATTGAGCAGTAAGAAACTTTCTCATCAAACCATAAGTTAACCTTTTGTCTGAATTTCTCTACTGATTTGACTGAACTTTCCTCATTTTCTGACATTTCCCTGTCTTCCTCTTCCTCAAACCTCAACTCACCGAAGTGTTCCCCAACTGTTCCGTCCACCAGAAATTTTTTGAAAAAAGGCTTTGAATCTTCACAATCAGATCCAACTTTGATATTGACTCTGTACGATCTACCATAGGATCCAAGAGTAATGAATTCTGGAACATCAAAATGGCTGGCTACTCTCATTAAAATTCTCGCAGATATGAGATCAACCCTGTTCTTAGTGGAATCATGGAGTTCTACCATATTTCCCCATCTCCCAGCTATTCGTTCCAAGAAGGATTCGTTCCAGCATAATAGAGGAACCCCAATTAACTCAACCTGGCAAAAAGCCATTGGAACTCCATCTTCATTTAGCAAAGGGGCCAATCTATCGAACCAGAAGCCTATTTCATCTTTCTTCTTTATCCATGCCTGCATCATCTCTTCGAGAGATTTGAAAATGATAGCACAGGAATTCCGGGCATAACCTCAACCAAAAATCTGAACTTCATAACCATCATTAATAAAAGACTCCTGAACTGACTTAAAATCAAAGGAAAGCTTCATAATCCCCGTTAAAGATCTTTTGACCCAACTCAAACTCTCAGAAGGAATATGCATTTCCAGAACATTCTTCCTTGTTATCTCCCTGTGTCTCCCTTCAACATCTAACTCCTTATACCTCCTTGCATTGTTCCTCATACTTTCAGTCAGTAACGCATCTTTATACGTTCTGTCATCTCTCACACTCCTGCTGGAAAAATCTATATCTTTCAACTTCATAGGTACTGTTGTAGTCGAATTTGTAGCCGACTTAACTAGACTATACTTTACCGCTTTCATTGGATGATCATCATTGTATTTAGCAACTCTGACTGTAATCCTTCTTCCATCTATCAGTGAACCGTTTAACATATCTATTGCCCTCTTCAAACCAGATTCCTTCTCAAACTGAACGAATGCAAAAGTCAAAAATCTATATTTAGGATTCCTAGTTTCTTTTGGGATGAAAACTCTCTCCACAACTCCATGTGACGAAAAAATTTCCCTTAGCACACGTCGAGAAATTCTCCTGCTGAGATTATCGACAAAAGCCTTCCAGACCTCACCGGAATCTATCTTCCCTTTTAACTTTTCTCTCTCTACTTTTCTCTCTCCCATTCTCTCTCTAATTTTCAATCTTAAAAAATCCCAAGCATCATACTCTAAGCTTAGAAAGTTGAAATGCTAATTTTTGTTTTCATAAATGGCAATGCAAATGTTAAAGGAGTCTTATAAGATAGCTGATGACTCGATTTATACACTGAAGAATTGAATTCCTGCAACTTCAATATGATCTTTACATAAAAAGAACATTCAAAAGACTTTTTTAGCAATGTCTCAAAATAACGTTTGAATAAAGAAAAAAACATGTATGTTGTGTGTGTGTGTATGTGATGCATGTTTGTACGAGTCTTACTATTATTTTGTTTCCTTGAAGGCATGGCAGTTCTCTTTCTCTAAATCATTTTTCTCTCATGCAGACACGTGAAATGTGTACCTATTTTGCCAACTAGTGTAGCTATGCTATATGCACATTGATTTCAAAATGTACAGAGTTTTAATTGATGGAATTGCATACTTCAGTGAATTGTAATGCGGAAAACCTAATACCCTTGAAACATAACAAGCCAATTAGAGAATAAAGTGGACCTGAGATTTTAATTTGATGAGTAAATTATCAACTGCAGAGTTGGTGTAGGACGTAAGCAAAATGGATGCACCTCTCATCAACAAGGCTTTTACGGCATGTACCATTGTAGATGTCTTACCCGTTCCTGGCATTCCTAGAATTAGAGCATAATCCTTTGCAGTAAGTATCTGGAAAAAAATGGATTTGCAGAATAAGTAATACTGCACTTTCTCTAGAAAATGTTAGGTCCACTGAGAATGTTTCTGTTCAGTAAACTGTTGTTAACCAGGAAAATGAAACCTTGAGAATAGCTCTACGCTGATCATTATTTAAGCTCTTCTCAGACCATATATAAGATATTGCTGGATCTTGACTGAATATGCACCCACTGTCAAATCTAGGAGGCTGTATTATGCAAAACAATATTTATAAAGATGACAGGAGAAGAAAAGCAAAGATTACACTAGAAAACAATATGAGTGAGCAAGAAGCATTCACCGCAAGGTCAACAATCATCTTCCTCAGATGAGAGCTTCGCTCATTTTCTAGAAACATTTGGATAAGGTTGAACCTTCAGCAATAACAAGGAAAATAATGAACATAAACAAACAGAAGTAATAAAAAGGTCAAAATTTAATTGTAATATGGAAATTACCGCATAATTGGAAAGGAGTTCATGATTTCATCCTTGTCAATTCGCCAGACCTCCTGGAATAGTTTTTCCTTCATCGAAGAAAAATTACCCCCTGGAAGCCTTAAACCCTTAGAAAAAGAAACCTGATTTTCACCAAAGACAACCCCTCAACCATTAGACATATTTATTTTGAATGTTTTAAGGACAATAAGTAAGTTCTGATCCGATTTAGCATGCATCTTATGACATCTTGTGGATGCGTTCCCAGCTAATATGTCAATTTCAAAGAAGTACTTAAGGAAATTTTAAACTTACAGAAACACGGTCAGGACTGATATCCGCAATGACCCCAGTTGCAACAATTTGGTGGCCAGATTCAGTGCGAAGTATCTAAAAACCAGAAACAGCAAAATAACTAAACAAAGATAATAGAAGAAAATATATAGAACTTCTTGGAAAACACAATTTATAGAAGGAAATGCTCATTGATTGAGCATAAAGAAGTTATAACTGAAGTAAATATCAATTTTTCCAACAATGAAAACTGTACCTGGTAAGAGATCATGATAGTTCTAGCAGAAAAGATAACCAAATGATTAACTGCCATCCCTGAAGTATAACTCTAATTACATTTAGGGGAAAACCTAACTGCTATAATAGGGCCTAGAAATAAGGGTTAGCTATGTATTGGCACTATCGGAACACACCCACACAGAGCAAGTTATTGCGGAATCAAGAAACAATAAAAATGAAAAACTATCAGATATAGCATATGGACAATGCTAATAGCTAAGTATCAAAAGATAGAAGCTAAAACTATTTATTGGAGCTATAAATGATCAAGGTTTATAATTCTATATTAGAAGCTACAAACATGTAAATTTACTGTGTAGTAGCCTCTCTAGAGTCAATAGCCATCACAAGCCTAAATATTAGAAGAAAAAGTCAATGGTTCCCCAGGTTTCTCCACAAGTGTAGTCAATGACAACCAAGGTATAGCAGAAGAACATGGACAGTGTTTCAGAATGTGCTGGAGTCGTAGCAACAAGAAGGTTTAATAGAAAACTGAAACTATAATACATCCCAGCAAAGCAAAAATGGTTGTAACAATCGTGTTTATATTCATTGCAATATCAGATATATGTAAACTTAAAAAGGAATACATGAAGACAGGAATGACAAAGCAGAAGCAGAAGCAATGTATGAGACACCTGTGTACCAATGCTATAAGTCAGAATTATAGTGCAAGTAAACATCAAAAATGGTTTATTAACGTGACATGATAATTACTTGGAAACATTTGAAAGAGAATAGTCTTGATAAAACCTTGGAAGCTCATTAAAGAGAAACCTGAACGTGAATAGTATGGGAAACTCATTTCGTACCGTAAGACACTAATATTAGCAGCACATTTGTGATTTAAAGGCTAGTTAGACAAGAGTAATTGTACCACATAATCTCCACTTTTAAGCGTGCAATCCAAATCTTTGGTCAAAGAAGTGGCAGCACTAGAATTTCTATCAGGTCCACATAAATTGGAAGCAGGCGAATGTCGACGCACAAAATGATAGATGAATCTGTTTTCTTTGGGAGGTTCCTGTTGTGGAAGTTTATCGAGAACAAGAGAAGAAAGGCGACCAGTAGAGTCCCCATTCTTAAGATTATGAGAACGCCATAATTCTTTCCTCGCAAGCTGAAATAGGCAACAAGTAGAGAGAAAAAAAGGTCGTTCAGTACAAAAAACTATTAGTTTATCACTGGTGCTGCTTTGGAGTAATCAATCACCTGCATCTCTTTAGCTTCTAGGTCAATCAATTGATCCCAATGTCGGAGGAAAACACCGTGAGCATTTGAAAAATGGTGTACACGTGAATCAAATATATCACCTAATCCGCTACTTTCAGTATCCCCACCAAATGCCTGCAGAAATTAAACAAAATTGGCCTATTATAAAAACTTGGTATCCAGAGTGAGCAATCACAACCCACAAAAGAATAAATGAAAATCCCGCTTAAATTTTCTCTATTTTGACCTTTCTATGCAACAATTTGACAGGATGGTAATATACCAGTTGAGACAGCACTTCACTCCCTGGACTACAGTAAGGAAATGCGTTTACCTTATGATAAAGGGTGCAGACATCAAGATGCCGACAGCCTTTGCACAAGCTAGGAATCTACAATAATAAATTGAATTTCTCATTCTATCAAAAAATGTTTACAGGCATATGGTATTGATTATTTTGTAACAGGCGTACTTGTAACATTGGGGGTAATTGTTCTGTTGTTAATGCCTTAAGAAGATCACTTGCAAGCTCATTACGACGCATGATTAGCCCAACCAAGTCAGATCTTCGAACTACAATCCCCTACACACAACACCAACAGATGCTTAGTGGCATTGGAAAAGAGAGATCTACGGACAGAAGGTAGCTTCATTACCTGTGTCTGATTTGACTGGAGATAGTACAGAAGACCAGAATCAATATGTTTTAGATACCTAACAAGTAAAAAGTGAAGAAAAGAACAATTACTCAGCACAACCCCTCACCATAACTGCATCCGAAACACACAATGGAAAAAAAGAATCAGAAGGAATAAGATTCTATAATACCTCTCAGACATAAGGAGAGTGTACAATATCACTTGGGCACAGTGTTCAATAGATGCCTGCATAAATGACAAGCATGCATCCAAGGACAATGAGATCAAGAAAGTAGCATAGAACATGCAATATGCATGTTTCAAATATTTAATCCACGCATAGCTGCTTTTCATATTACTTGCCTGGCCATTAGGCATTTTTCCAGTTTTAAACTCTAGAGGCATGATCATCTCATCACCTTCTTTTCCACCTGACTCGAATTTCACTCTGACTGAAACATCAATCATTCCTTTCAGACCATACTTTGGGGCCCATGCTGATTCCTCGATATCGATTACCTACAAGCATAATTAAGTCCTCGTGTACATTTTATGAGTTTAGACTTAGTATAAATGAAAATGATTTTGGATGCTCAGAATCAGCAATTGCAACTAAACATAAGCCCAAAGAAAAATGCAAAAATAGGTGAAAATGCATATATATCTTCAACAGAGTAGCGAGAATATTCTCAATCCACAAAAGCTTTCAGGTTGCCTCAGTGAGCATACATAAATAGAATGTGCGGAAATTGCTAACAATTATGAATTTTATTTCATTTAGAAGTTTAACTTATTTTAGGAGATAAAGTTCAATTTATTTATAATTTATTTATGTTGTACGATTAGGATTAAGTTTCGTAAGAGATAAGATCCTATACATAACATATAAAAACAGGTTGTGGTTTCTATTTTTTTCAATAAGAATTTTGATTAAAAAAATTCTTCTCTCAATTTCTTCCTTTTTTTTATTTTCCCATTTTCTCAATTTCTCACATACGATACAACTCATTTAAAAATGACAAAAAGCAAAAGGCATGCACATCCACAAATGCATGTTTTTCTTCTTTGGGGGGCCAATGCCAATATATGTCTAATTCATTAAGGAATCAATCATTTGTTGAGGAAGATGCTAACCTCGAAATGGCTAACCCTTTTTGTCCCATGATCAGATCCAAAATCCACAGTGGGAACTTGTGGCTCCTGCCATTAGTAAAATTAACTCAAGAATACAAAGTTATCGTACAGAAATCCATCACAAACGCAAAAAAAATAAGATATTTTGTTTAAATTCATTACAACATGCAAGTATAAGGTTCCTAGTACAAGCTCCTCCAAGAAATATACTTGACCTATTTAGGTATGCATATATACATACATACATATATATGTGTATGTATACAATCACAAAAGCATATTCATTTCAACTACTCTTCAGCCTGGTAATCATCAACCCACATGAGCAGACAGCCAGGCTTCCACATCTACCCACCTACCCCCATCTCCCATAAATCTAAAACTTGACAAGGGGCAGAATCAGATCTGCCTTTATGCAATGAGAAGCAGGGTCCTCAAACCCCCTACAATTTAAGGGTATGGAAGAAAACCTGGAATGATGCACCAGCCAGGTAGTCAACAAGAAAGAGTAACAATAAAGAGAATATCAGCTCACCTGTGAATGTTTGAAGAGAACAATCCAGTCTACTAGTTTCGGTATAGCTTCAGTCAAGGTTCTATATATTTCTTTTTCATTTACTGCAATGAAGCATAAAACCAGATAACAGAATTTCAGATAATGATCCAGAAGATCTGCTGCTAATACGCCATTGGAACATTAAGCAAGACTTGATGGAACATCAATAAGATCTTCACAAGTCCAATGGAATGATGAGGAACCTAGATTAACATGCAGTGGCATATTGGAAAATAGTAAAGGAAATTTATCTAAATCTCCACCTCCACATGCATACAAGCTCTCCATGTTCTTCTGAAGCACTATTCTTGCATATTCTTCCAAATAACATACTGTAGGGGACTCCTTCACAAGTCCTGCCTGTAGAAAATTGAGATGCACACAGTTAAGAAATTCTTAAAAACTAGCTTATTGATGGAGTACTTCATATGAACTATTAGAAAATTTAATAACATATTACAATAGCTTTTTCCAATCACAAGACCTGAAAAATTTGGTGGAGCAAGGTGCCAATAAGAGCTGCAGTTGAATGCTCATTGCTTCGTAGTCTCTCATCTAGAACAGTTCGCCTTGGGCAACTAAAACTGCCCGCAACCTTTTTTTCATTTATTGGAAAGCAAAAAAAAAGAGTGGCTTTAAATATCCACATGGATTTGGTCAACTAAAATTGATATAATAAAGGTGGCCAAGAGTAGCCATGATTACAAAAGGAGGCAAGGAAAAAGTCACAAGAAAATGCATAAAACTCAAATCTGTTTTAACTGCATGAAACTTACCCGAGTTCCAGAGACCAGAAAATCTGGATGAATGATAAGAAAATTATTTTCATGATCCACGTTACACTTTCCCTCTTCATCAAATTCACCAATGACATTGACAGTGTCTCCTGGGGCAATAATACTATAGAACCTGAGGTAATTGTTTCAAGGAACAGTGAGAAACATTATATCAGCAGCAGTAGACAATCAACCATTGGGAAAGCACAAACTAATACTTTAAGGTTTACATCAAAAGACCAAGTGCGTGATAACCATTAAAACAGAAAGACTGATTAAGAACCATGCGAAATGCCACTAGAAATGGATGAACAAGAGCATAGATCAGACATGAAATTAGGCTACATTAGTAAAGCCTTACCACTACTTAGCCTATTAAATCTACAACAGAGCTTTTCTTGGACAAGTTAACTAATAAATCTGTAAGAAAGTGAAGATGTCTGGAAGGATGTACTTGGCATTTTCCTGGATAGAAATCAATCTTAGTGAAATAAAATGAACTAATTTTGTCATTTTGAAATAGCGTTAAACTTATTGGAAGTTGAAAGGAAGATGACTGGACAACATACCACTCTTCCCACAAATAAACAGCACGTTCTTCCCCACTTTTCTCATTTACCAAGCGAAGAACCTGAGAAGCAACTGTTATTAGTCCCCTTAAAAATCCAGTGAATCATTCAGAAGTGTGTGATTTAGGCACAGAAAAAACCTTATATTGGCATAGAGAACCACCAGGCTCGGGAGAAGTTCGCTTCTCAGATACCTTCAGCAGAGATATATAAGCAACAATAGAAGTATTAAAGAACATACTGTTTTCTTCAAGCATAATTTACTAAAATATGGGGCAAGGAGAAAGCATACCTCCAATACTAGGAAATAATCATTAGAAGATGTCCCGGAGACTTTGTTTGTTGTGTCCATTACCACATCATTACCTATTGAATTAGCTGTTACAGGAATATCTTTTGACTGTCCCTCTTGCACTTTAGATAAATATGGCTCAGATTCAATGGGTACAAAATCCTCAACAGATATGACATCTTCTACTTGATCTAGAAGTTCAAGCAATGCCTATAAACGAAAAAAACCAAATGAAGATTAAATATAACAAAAACAAAAACAAAAACTGGAGAATAATTGAATACAAAATGCAAAAAGGAATTGTGGCAAATATTTTGTAATCTGTGCTACAACAACATGTATACATAAAAGTAAAATATAGTCTTAAGAAAGCCTCCACTTTTGTTATATAATAATCATATGTGAAAGAAAGAATTGGAAGTTTTCTAAGATAAAGAGATTAATATTGAGAAGAAAACATTGTGAAACCTTTTTGTGCTGCTTCAAACCCCGGTGATGAGATGCAACACCACTGGTAAGCTGCATTTCAGTTATGACATAAATAAGGTTAAGTCAAATTACATAACCCCATTACATATGGTTATAATGCAATGCCTAATTACCTTATTAGGACAATAAGGTAGAGAAGGTGGAGTGCAGAATGGAGTCGGTCTACTAGCCAAACAAGTATTCTCATCTGTATTGCTCTCATCGACCCCTTTATCCTGAAAAGGGTTCAATCTTTTCAATCCAACCCTATTGGCCTGAAGCAAAGGCTTTCTGTCAGCTTTGCCTTTGGGGGATGGCGATGAAAGCCACTTGTCAACCTTAGCAGCCGTATTCGTACCCTGAAATGCATTGGCTTGTTTTTTTGTAGTTAATAAATAAGAACAATCAAAATATAAGGGTTCACAGAAACAGGAAAGGAAGGTGAGAAACATGCCTTGGTCTGAGAGCATTGTTGTATTGTGGAAGTGTTGTTCTTTGAGGAAGTAGATAATCCGGGCATGTACTTTGAGACTGTTAGAAGACGTTCGTTGACCGGAGATATCTTCCATGTAACCTCATCCCCTACATCATCTTGGCTCTGCTTTATCAACTGCAACTCCAATTTTTCCCGTTGGTTCAACAGACGATGATGAAAAAAGAAATAGAAAAGGGAAAAGAAGGCGAGTGAGAAACTGTTTACCATTCCAGGGGAAAAACTGAAGCGCTTGAGAGAGGTAGACTTTGTGATCAAAGGCGACACCTCATCAGCAACCTCCACCGCCGGAGACGAATCGGAATGGATGTTAGGGTTTCGCGGGATGGAAACGACGCCGTTTGCAGGGTCTTCTTCGAGAGGCAAAGCAGCGGTACTGGATTTGGGAGGGGATATAGGATTAGTGGGAGAGTTAGCGGAAGGTGGTACGAGAGGAGAAGAAGGGTGATTGTTCTTGTGCTGGGAAGCTAAAAAGGCGTTTTGGGAATGGCGTTCGAAGAAATGCTGGATGCCGAACTTGGAGGGTTGAACTTGAGATTGATTGTTGGAAACATTATGTTTCTTTGATGAAGAAGGGTTAGGCTTCCTTCTGGTTTTAGGAGGCATTTTCAGTTCATAAGCTTGCTTCTGAGTTGGATCTTCGCTCAGTATCAGTAGCCATCTTCTTTATCAGGGCAAGTATTTTCCCGCCAAACTTTTTCTTCTGACTTAAAAATATGGGTAAATTACAAATTTAGTAACTAAACCTTACTCTCGCTTCTATTTCACTACTATACTTTAAATTATTTTCAATTTTTTCTTTAAACTTAATACATTAGATTTTTTTATCACTCAGCCGTTTTTTCACTAACGGCATTATAAATGGGTTGTTATATAAATGAAAAATGATCTCATTTTAGGGAAAATATTAAATGTTGTCATTTTAAAGCTGTTAATTATTTAATGGCGAGTGACAAAAGAATCTAATGTATTAAGTTCAGTGAAAAGTTGAAAGTTTTTAAAATTAGTGAGTAAAATAGAAGAAAAAGTAAAATTTAGTAATGAAATTTGTACTCGAAAAATATTTGAGTGGATCGAGCCAGGTCCAATACTGCTACTCAAAACCCAAAAGAATGTTAATATTCAATTTGGTACATTAATTTGTCATTTTTTATAAATATGGTACATGTGTTTTTTTGGAACTTATTTGTTATTTTTATTTGATAAATATTAAATACTTGATATCTGAATTTGTAACATTTCAAAACTGTGGTACTTGGGTTTTTATGTTTTTCAAAAATTACGCAAAATACTCGTATTAAATAACTCAAAAGGCAATAATAAATTAAGTTTAAATTGAATTACTTATTTTAAATTATAACAAATTGTGGCGTGAAATTCATATCATATTTTAAATGTTTGACATTGATTTAATAAATACATATACTAAATGTGTAACTTTGACAAATATATGTACCAAATTGTTTAAAAATAAAACGCATGTACCATATTTCTAAAATTGATAAATCCATGTACCAAATATGTGATATTTTAAATATATAGGTACTTAATTAGATAAAAGAAACATTTGTACCACATTTATAAAAAGTGAAAAAAGAAATTTGATTTTATTCATGATTTTGAAATAATCATGATCTATTGGATGATTAATCCAGATCAAACTTGTTGAAAATATTTTGATGTTTCGATATAACAAATTACATTAAATGAATTTTAAGATTTTACAAATGATTTTATAAGTATATTCGACTCAATTATTCGAATATCAAATCAATTACTCCAAGTCTTTTCAAGATCAAATTCAAACCTTACTAAATGTGTAAAATTGTGTTTTATACTTAATATATTTTTGAAACAATTTTCACAAAATATTTTAAACCAAAATCAAGCCTAAAATCAATTTTTCAAAGTGATGCACTGATGCACCAATCCATGCATCGATGCACCATGGAATAAATTGAACATCGAATGCATCGATGCACATACTATGCATTGATGCACTCAAAGTTTTATGAAAACATCGAATGCATTTGATGCATCGATGCACTCAAGCTATTTTGAAACATCGAATGCATTTTATGCATCGATGCACTCTTAGTGCACCGATGCACTAAGGGTCCAACGGTCAAAATATTTGAATTTTACACTTTATGCACCGATGCACCTTGGGTATGCATCGACGCACTGATGCTCTCAACTGATTTAATTAATTTTTTTCACACTTAAACGGCTCTATTGACTCCACTAATCATCCCCAACGTTCAGAATCATTTGAAGGAGTATTTAAACAAGCTTAGAAGCCATTGATCAACAACAATAAAACACAAGAAACAAGAATCAAGAGAGAATCAAAAAGAAAGCATCAAACCTCAAGTTTGAGCATTTCAAGCCTATTTTTCATTCAATATTCATTTTGCTTTCAAGAACACTATGTGTACTCAATTGTATTCATTTTTTAGTTTTCTTTTCTTTGTTCTAGAATTGTACAAACAATCTACATTGTGGGGATTTCCTTGTAAGTTTGAAAATTTGTAATCTTCTCTTTGAGAAAGAGTGTTCTCAAGAATTGGGGTATATTCTTGAGGGAGTTGTAAGATTATCTCTTTGGCCTCAAAACAAAGAACAAATTAGTGAATTTGTTGGAAAATCCTTAGTGTGGATAGCTAAGGTAGTGGACATAGACTTTGGTTGAGAAAGTCGAACCACTCTAAATCGATGTGCAAATCTTTTCAATTTTCTGCAAAAGCTTCCACCAACTTTTTAATTGCCAATTCACCCCCCTCTTGGCCAATTCCATCGATCGATTAACTCAACAATTGGTATTAGAGCCTCACTAATTTGAAGGTTTAATCGCCTCTTGAGTCGATTAGGGAAGAGTTACATCGATTATCAAGTCATCAATGGCCTCTACTTCAAATGTCGACTCCGGTCTCGATTCGATGCCCGTCAACAAGCCTCCTAACTTCAATGGAGCTAACTATGCCTATTGGAAGAATATGATGATGTATTTCATTCAAGCAAGTGACATGGGAGCATGGAATGTTGTAAAAGACGGATATATCAAGCCTCTCACTCATCCAAGATTGTGGAGTGAAGGAGAGACAATAATGTTCCAGCTCAACTCCAAAGCCATCCATATCATATTTTGTGCTCTTGGACCAGATGAATATGGAAGAGTTTCATCTTATACAACCGCCAAAGAAATATGTGATAAACTACAAGTCACTCATGAAGGCACCGACGAGGTAAAAGAATATAAAATTAGTCTACTAACACATAGCTATGAAATTTTCAGGATGAAACCAAATGAATATATCAAAGCTATGACGGATAGATTCTCAACAATTGTCAATGGTCTCAAGTCATATGGAGAGATCATTCCAAACGAAAAACTTGTGAGGAAGTTAGTTTACTCACTTCCAAAATCGTAGCAATCCAAGAAGACGACAATCATCGAGGCTATGAACCTAAAGTCCTTAACTCTTGAAGAGCTAATCGGTTCCCTCCTCACTCATAAATGATGCTTGAAGATGAGGTGGACCTCGATAAGATTGACGAGACACCAAAGAAGAAGGAGAAGAAGAAAAACATTGGAGTTGCTCTCAAATCCACAAAAGATGAGAGTGATTCGGATGAAGATGACGATGACGAGAAAATGTCATTGTTTGCCAAACGGTTCAGAAAAATGATGAGACCTTACCGAGGAAGAAAATTCAAACGAAATGAAGACCTCAAAAATGAACCAAAAAAGAAAGACCCTATCATTTTCTATGAATGCAAAAAGCTAGGGCATGTCAAATATGATTGCCCACAATTGAAGAGAAATGGTCAATCAAAGAATAAGCACAAGGCTCATATGGCTACATGGAGCGATGAAGAAGGTTCCGATGAAGAGGAACAAGAAGTAGCAAACTTGTGCTTGATGGCATTCGGGGAAGATTCTAAGGTAACATCTAACTCATTTGAATTAGATGATTTATCTTATGATGAGTTATTAGAGGAATATAATGGGTTGGCTTCGGATTATGAGAAATTGTTTTTAAAATATAAAAATGATGTCTCAAAATTCAAAAATGAAAATAAGCTCATATCCAAGACCAACAATGATTTTGAAAGTAAAATCAAAGATTTACAAATCAAACTAGAAGAGTTTGAAAAGAAAAATTCGGATTTTCAAAATTTACTTTCAAAGGTCAATGATGATCATCAAAAGAAAATTGATGATCTTAAAGCTTCTTTTGATAAAGTTGAAACAAAACGTTTTGAAAATGGAGAAAATTCAAAATCCAACTTTGTTAGAAAAAGTTTTAAAAACTACAATCATAGAGGTCCCCGAAGAACCTCTAATGGAAAAATCGTTAGAAGTATATGGGTTCCTAAAGGACTCATTACTACTAAAGATAAGGATATCCTACACAAATGGATACCTAAGGGGACTAGGATTTTGGAAACTAATGAATATGGACCAAAAAGAATTTGGGTACCAAAAATTAGAAATTAATCTATGTTTGTAGGAAAATGAGCATTGCTACAAGGCACGGGAAACAAATTCAAACTCATGGTACCTTGATAGTGGATGCTCAAGACACATGACCGGGGACAAAAGCCGATTCATAGAGCTTAACGCCAAAAATGGAGGAGAAGTGACTTTTGGTGATAATTCAAAAGGTCACATTGAAGGTATAGGTATAATAGGTAATACCTCTTCCATACAAATTAAAAATGTTTTATATGTGAATGGGTTAAAGCATAATCTTTTGAGTATTAGTCAATTATGTGATAAGGGATTCAATGTCATGTTTGAAACTAATGGTTGTAAAGTCATTGACATTGCATCTAATCGGATTATGCTTGTTGGTCATAGAATAGGAAACATTTACATGGTGCATTTAGATTCTATTGATATGACTAATTTATGCCTAGTTGCTAAGGATGAGCATGATAGTTGGTTATGGCATAGGAGACTAGGACATGCTAGTATGTGCGTTTTGCAACGGCTAATTCAAGGTGATTTAGTTCGAGGGTTGCCTAAATTAAAATTTGATAATGATAAAATCTGTGATGTTTGTGCTAAAGGAAAACAGAAGCGAGTTTCTTTTAAATCCATTAACGATGTATCAACTAGTAGAGTATTACAATTGATCCACTTAGATCTTTTTGGGCCATCTAGAACTACTAGCTTGGGTGGAAAACAATATGCATTTGTCTTGGTAGATGACTATTCTAGATATACTTGGGTTCTATTCTTAAGTACTAAAGATGAAGCATTAGAAAAATTCATCATGTTTTCAAAAGTAATCCAAAATGGAAAAAGGTTGCTCTATAACTAGTGTTAGGAGTGATCATGGAACTGAATTTGAAAATCTTGGATTTACTGAATTTTGTAATTCAAATGGTATTAGCCATAATTTTTCAGCACCTAGAACCCCTCAACAAAATGGAGTTGTTGAGAGGAAAAATCGAACTTTAGAAGAAATGGCTAGAACCATGCTTTGTGAGAACAATTTGCCAAAATATTTTTGGGCGGAAGCCACAAATACCGCTTGTTATGTTATTAATCGAGTAATGATTAGGCCTATTTTAAAGAAAACTCCATACAAACTTTT